GAGGCTCTAGTGAGAGTGTATTTGGGGCAGCACAAGGCTGGAGTGTAGGCTGCCCTGCCTACGGCAGGGGCTGAGATGAATAAGGAGGGGGAGGGGCCTTGAATGTCCTTCTGAGGAGCTGAGACTTCCTTCTGCACAAAGCAAGGCAAGAGCACCAGCTTGGCCTCTCAGAAGGCTGCTGGCACAGCACTGGGCTGGGAGGTGGAGGCTGGAGCTAAGGAGGTTGCTGGGTAGTAAGGGCACAGTGTGGAGGGTCTCTTTCAGTGAAGATGGGCTGAGAGACCAGTCGGTGGGCTCCAGCGTATCTCAGAAGCATCAGTGTGGGGCTGAAGAGTGATCTCTGCTTGGCAGACAGTGAGAGAGGGTGCAGAGAACGGGTTCAGCGAGGGGTTTCGCAGAAGGGGGAGAGGGGGGCGGTGAGTTGAAGTTCTTGCAGGGCAGTGGGGCTTTGCTTCTGCAGCTCCGGAGGGTCCACAGACAGAATGTAGATTTGAGAGTTCTGAGCAGGTAAGGAAAGTGAAACCAACTCAAGTAAAATTCAAGCTGAGAAAGTCAGCCGGGTGTCAGCCTGAATCCAGGTTTCTAGACTTTTGAGCTAGTGGGGACTGGAGTCTGTCTGCTTTCCAGAGCTCATGGCCACACTCACCATGCCATTTATATTTGCCTTACTTGTGTTATTTCAGTGAAATGCAACCTAGTATCAGGTTTCAATTCTATAAGATCACAGGAGGACTTCTGTTTTTCACGTTCAGTATTACCTCACTGACCAGCATTTATTTTTTAACCTGAGGGTTAATCAACCCAAGCTATAGAAGGATAAGTTTCTTGTTTTCCAGGTTAGAGTTGAATAGAACTGATATTAAATGATCAGCAGTTTACTGAAAGGAGGAAGAGGAGAAACCTCTACCCCAGAAACACAAGGGCAGAGTTTCAAAATCTGGAGCCAGCCAAGGTCAGCAGTCATGGGAAGGCGTCTAGGCCATCTTTCCTCGTCCGCTCACTCAGCTCTGGGGGCAGCTGGGCGTGGAGGCAGCAGCTGTTCAAGGGTTAAAATGGCAAGGAAATGAGCACTTTCTAACCCATTCGGTCTGTTAATTTTAGGGCTTATAATAAGCACTTATAATACTTCCTCCGTGGAAGAAGTAGAGTGGAATTTCCCTGTGTAAATCCCATAAGCCACCCTAAGTACAAGCAATTTTGGTTTATTCCAGTTTGAGATGTTTTCTGGTAAAAGATGTGTCTCTGGAGGAATGACTCCCAGGGCACCTGTCCTCCCAACCCCCAAAGGCTCAAGATCGGGTCTCATCAGAGCCACTGTGGTCCCCTCTTTAGAGCCCATAGATGTGTGACTTTGCCATGGAGTGTTAAAAGGTCATCAAACTCTAACCATCTGTTTCCACAGACGGGCACATCCCCGCCTGTCAGGGAAATCAAGTCAGACTGGAAGGAAAATATTCTGACATATGAATTGTCAGCTGAGATTGACAGAAAGAACCGTCAATTCATCCTCAGATCTGTGAAGTTTTTGACTTGACAGCCAGACACGTATAAGGTCTAAAACCTGTGATTGGAGAGATGAAAGTTCTTTTTTTTAAAAAATTTTATTTATTTAATATATTTATTTTTGGCTGTGTTGGGTCTTTGTGGCTGCGCGCCGGCTTTCTCTAGTTGCGGTGAGTGGGGGCTACTCTTCGTTGTGGTGCGTGGGCTTCTCATTGCAGTGGCTTCTCTTGTGGAGCATGGGCTCTAGGCGCATGGGCTTCAGTAGTTGTGGCACGTGGGCTCAGTAGTTGTGGCTCACGGGCTCTAGAGTGCAGGCTCGGTAGTTGTGGCATATGGGCTTAGTTGCTCCGTGGCATGTGGGATCTTCCCGGACCAGGGCTCGAACCCATGTCCCCTGCACTGGCAGGCGGATTCTTAACCACTGCACCACCAGGGAAGCCCGAAAGTTCTTTAGAAATGACTTTTTCTCACAGATATTCAATATTGAAACTTATGAGAATATGTCTATTACCTCTTGTGTGATGATGGTGTCACGGGTTTGTGTGTGTCCAAACTCAACAAATTGTACCTATTAAATATGTACAGTTCTTTGTATATCGATTATACATCAGTAGAACTGTTTTTTAAAAAAACCGATCAGGAAAGCCAACACAGCGTCTCCTCCCCTGCTATGTTCCTGCCGGGTGCCCCGAGAGGAAACACCGACAAACGGGTGGTTCTCCGTCCCGGCTGTGTCCTAGACTCACCTGAGGAGCGATTACCAACCCACAGGCAGAGGCGTGTCTTAAAGCTGCCCAGTAATTGATGTGAGCCAGGGTCGAGAACCACTGCTTTCCAGAGTGCTCGTCACAGAGTGACCACCTGAAGCTGCAGAGGTTCCTCCTGGGCTGCCTCCTTTCCTGTTATACACCCACAGGTGGAGGGTTCTGCTACTTCGTTCAAATGGAGAACTTTCCCATGGCAGGTTTGGGCCCTTAAGGAAAAGCTGGAGAGATGGTCTCCATGTCAGGCCATAATAAGGCTAAAAATAAATAAATATTGAAACATTAAATAATATTTTAAAAGCTTGTTATAGGAAGGTAGAATTGGTGACGAGTAGTATATTTTAGGATGATAGACTCAATATTGGGAAAGAGATGGCTGTGACACATCAATATCCATCTGAACGGGAAGAGTGCTTCGGGGAATTAGTGGGAAACCCGAAATGTCACGAAGATCACAGAGACCTAGTTTAAGGAGGGAAGAGGTGGGAATTCCCAGGATGTCAGTATATTAAGGAAACAAGCCGCCTACTGGGGTGAGATTTTAACAGCGCACGTGTGAAAGATGAAGGGTGGGCTCATCACGCAGCGCAGAGCGGTGGGGAACCTACATGAAGGCTTCAGGAGAATCATCTAAAAGAGATTATTAAAGGGGCCTTTGGTGATCATTTGGAACTAATTTGGGTTTGCCTGTTAATGTCCTGTGAGGTTGGGCTCATTTTTTCGATGGGACCGTGAGACGGGGAGATCTGTGACTTGACAGTGTGCCCGAGTTTCATGAAGATATTTAATAGCAACTCACTCCGTATTTCAGCTGATAAGATAGAAAGTCTGGTCTAAACAAACAGGCCAGTTAGGTAGATTTGTGGCTGGTGTAATAGCTGTACCTATAAAAGTACGATTAGTAAAATACCATCATGGAAGGAAGGTCTTTAATGGAATTGACCATTGGCTCCATCATCACTATTTTATAATTGATTTGAATGAAAATACGGAAGGCATGCTGTAGCAGTCACATTCTCAGGTTGTAGGGAGAGGGGTATCGCATCCAGCTCTTTCTTTTTAAAAGGTTTTTGAAATTTTTATTTATTTAATTTATTTATTTTCGGCTGCATTGGGTCTTCGTTGCTGTGCACGGGCTCTCTCTAGTTGTGGCGAGCGGGGGCTGCTCTTCGTTGCGGTGCGTGGCTTCTCCTGTTGCGGAGCACGGGCTCCAGGCGCGCGGGCTCTAGAGCGCAGGTTCAGTAGTTGTGGCGCGTGGGCTTAGTTGCTCCACGGCATGTGGGATCTTTCTGGACCAGGGCTCGAACCTGTGTCCCCTGAATTGGCAGACAGATTCTTAACCACTGCGCCACCAGAGAAGCCTTCCATCTCTTTTCTTTTCCTTTTCCTTTCCTTCTTTCTCCCTCTCCCTCCCTCCTTTCCTTCCTTCCTCATTTTTTTTTTTTTTTTTTTTTTTGCGGTACGCGGGCGTCTCACTGTCGTGGCCTCTCGCATTGCGGAGCACAGGCTCCGGACGCGCAGGCTCAGCGGCCATGGCTCACGGGCCCAGCCGCTCCGTGGCACGTGGGATCTTCCTGGACCGGGGCACGAACCCACGTCCCCTGCATCAGCAGGCGGACTCTCAACCACTGTGCCACCAGGGAAGCCCTTAACTAATGTTTTATAGGGAGCTATTTTCTACATATTTTTCTACATAAAACAAGTCAATTTGTACTGGAATTACCTACAAATTCAGTGTCCAAGGTCTTGGATCAAATTGTGCATTTCTCCCAACTACTTTTTTGTTTTTAAAGGAAAAAATTGCCAGGAACCTAGATCACAATTCTGTGATCATTTAATGTGATTGAGAAACAGCCTTGCCCACCCTTACACACACCCAGTCCACTGCCACTTGGATTGAAATTGCTTTAGTGAAAGTGTCTCTGTGAAAACCAAAGTGCAGACGTTTTCACAGCTCCTCTCTTTTCATAAAGAAGGCGGGGCTGGAGAAGAGTGGGAATATTGAAGGAGGCCAAAATAACCGCTTGGAGCCTGGACCCTGACCTGCTCTGGACCTGCCCTCGGAGGGCGAGGGCCTTTCTCAGGGATCTTCTCGGGGAGGGAGGGTGCTGAGCGCTGTGAGTGTCAGCATCGCGGGGGCAGGACAGGTGTGAGCAGCCCTGGCCCTTGTCAGCACTTCACACGAGGATGCTGGCCTTCAGACTTAAAACAGCGCTGTAAGGAGCTCCTGCCCACCCACCCCTTTTGCTTATGGGGAAACTGAGGCTCACAGCGGTTGAATAACTTGCTAGAAGTCCTACAGCTGTTAAGTGGCAAGACCAGGACTAAACCACCTGACTTGTCTGACTTCGTAACCTCTTCCCTTGACCTCGCTGGCCTTGTCGGTACAGATTCCCATCTTCTGACGGGGGTCAGCGCTGAACAGGGTCTACAGCGCTCTGACGCTCCCCTCTGGTTTCATGCAGATGTTTGGTCATCCAGTTACAGGGCCTCCCCAGAAGGAAACCACTGTGATTCTGCCCACAGGATATGTAGCAGACAGGTGCTTTGCATGACACTGTCCCTCTCAGCGCCTTCCGTTTGGGCCACCCGTTTGGACTACCACAGCTCCGCTAGTTTCCTAAAATGCAGTGGTGGCAGTTCTGTCCTTTGCACTGAAGTCTGCCTGGACCTCCCGACTGGTCTGGCCCTTCTTCTGCAGGATGCTGACGGCCTGTGTCCTCTTTCCCGCAGATGCCGCCCCTACGAGGACTGCTGTGGTTCCAGGTGCTGCGTGCGGGCCCTCTCCATCCAGAGGCTCTGGTATTTTTGGTAGGTCACGACTCTTCCTGGTCTCAGCTGCTCCCCCTGCCCTCCCCCAGGGCTCTGCCCGGTCAGTTTGTCACAGCCAAGGTGACGTCACCTCCCCCTGAGGACGTGGTCTCTGGGTGGCCTCAAGAAAGCAGGTACGTTGGGGCTGGCTTCATGTTAAGCACTTCTGCTCACGGAGTTTGGAGAAAGCTCGTCCCCATTTCCACAGACTTGTGGTTCGGAAAGAAGACTTACTCTTTTGGAAGCTGGACTGTACAGAAGCCTGGTCCTTCAGCGGCTCCTCCACCGATTTCTGAAATGGAGCTGAGGCCAGTTGTGTTAATCAGAGAATCAGCCCATCTCGTTATAAAGTTTCCACTGCCTGGAAATCTTCCATATTCGCATTGTGTCAGCTGAGTCCTGACGTTCCAGACAGACAGCCCGCATCCTTGCCCATCTTCCAGCTCTACTGGGGGAAGTTGGAAGAGCTGTCTGGAGTCTGTAAGATTGGACCTTGGGAGAGAATGAGGGAGTAAAGCTGACAGAGTCCTGAAAGGATAGGATGCAGAGTTCCCACTAAGGAGAGGAACCTCCCGTGAGTGGCCACCCTCAGAGGATGCCTGTTTGGAGGTTTGTCTGAAGATTCATTTGACTCTGTAGATAAGAGATAGGCTTCAGATGACAGAGATGGCAGAGTATGTGTGGGAAAGGATTTGCCTAAAACCAAAAGGGCATTTCCTGTGCCTGCCGCGCTCTCCTCTGCACCACTGCAGAGGTACAGTCTTCGAGGCAAACCCCGTGAGGGATTAGGACCCAGCTTTAAGGTTTAAGCTTCTTCATGGGTTTCAGATTCTGACATTCCTGATGTCTAAAGACTTTAAGGCCTTTCCTGAGCATGTGGCGGCAGACACTTGGATTTCTGGTGAGATTTTTGCCTTTGCCTCCTGACGGCTGTTCCTAATGTTTGATTAGGGAAGTCAGCAGGAAGTGGGTACTCCACCTGCCACGTTTTCTTTAATAGGAGACCCTCTTTTCGTTCTCACCATCACCACCTCCTTGATGGGCCTTTGGCCATTTGGGGGCTGGACTCACCTGTCACGTCGGGCCCTGAACAGTGCCACGCTGGTGTTGGCTCCTCCCCACCTCCTAGTTGCTAGTGCCTCAAACTCTATAGTAGAAGGAGAACTTTTTTACCCTGAGATTTTCCACATGTTAACACCTCTGTGTACCTATCAAGGTGGAAGGGACTGGTACCAAAGCTGGGGTGAGGAGGGCCGGGGGAGGGGGCACTTCAGAGCTCTGCCTGGCTTTACACATGCGCCCCCTCAGAACTTGCCTCCCCGGGGCCTTGTGGTCGAGGGTCCCGAAAGGGATCAGCCGTGCTTCAGGTTGGCCTGAAACACCAGGCGAATGATGATGAGATTGTGGAAATGCTCCTAAAAAATGAGAAAACGTGTCGAAGTTTAGACATCACGTGATTAGAAAGAAGGAAAAATGGAAAGTCCAGGAGAGCTCTGAGGGCCTGGCTGCTAGAGCAGCTTCTGTCGACCTTCCCTGGAAGCGTTCGTTCCCTGAGCTGGTAGTCGGTGCTTCTGAGCTGTCGGCCGGCGTCACTTGTCAGGGTCAGGGCACCTCGGCGAGCCAGTGAGCCTCGGCGTCACTTGTCAGGGTCAGGGCACCTCAGGGTCAGGGCACCAGGGTCAGTCCCTACACAGAGGCATCTCATGAGAGCCATGGAAGGAGGGCAGGTCTCCAAGGTCGGGGTGCCAGATACCAGAAGGTTCGGTTGAGTTCTTTGAGTTGAGATTCTGATACCAGATAGCAGCTTCTAAACTGGGGATACAGCCAGAGAGCACCTTGAGATGCAAGCCTGAGGTGCCCCAGCTGAAGTCAGAGGACACAGGGTTTCCGCTCCATGGGTTCCTTCTCTCAGTTATGTGTCTGGTATGGGGAAGGCCCCACGGCAGCCGGGCTCCTGAAACAGACAGATGTCTAGACACATGGAGAGTTTTAAACCAGTGTTCTGGAAACGAAGCGTGCAGCCTCTGATGCCACAGATGCTGGGGAGAGCTGCACAGCTTCTGACCGGGCCTCAGAGAGGGCCGTCCCTGCGAAGGGCCCAGCACACTGCACTCAGAGAGGGCCTTCCCTGCGAAGGGCCCAGCACACTGCACTCAGAGAGGGCCTTCCCTGGAAGGGCCCAGCACACTGCACTCAGGGAGGGCCTTCCCTGCGAAGGGCCCAGCACACTGCACTCAGGGAGGGCCTTCCCTGCGAAGGGCCCAGCACGTTGCACGGGCAGGGACGTAGGCATGCCCCTGGTGAGGGGGTGATGGGGAGCTGGTGTGGGGGCAGGTTTGCAGGGCGGGCAGGAGGTTGGCAGGATGGAGCTGGGCATCGCGCGGAAGGAGGGCGGCTCTCCAAGCTGGTCCCACTTGACTCTGGAGGAATTTGGGCTCCTTACCATAACACAAGAGGTTTTGGAGGAGGATGCTTTCAGAAGTCCCTGCCAGCTCTAAAATCTTAAGTAATCTTTAACCAGGATAGTCAAATGAAATCCCCAGGATCAGAAAAGGTGTAGAGTTGGAGAGCGCACTGCAACAGAGTGCAGCCTGGCAGGTGAGTGCAGCCCTGCTGCCAGGGCTGCCGCGGGGCTGGGGGCTGGGGCAGGTCGGCCCTGGATCTGCAGGGGCTCTGCTGCTGCCTGGGGCCTGCATCGGGAGCTGAGAACTGCTGTTCCATGTGCTGCGGCGGGGAGGCAGGAAGGGACTGGAAAAACAAATTGAATTGAAGAAACCGGATTACTTTTGATGACAGAAAAGGCACATACTTCCTCTCTTGATCCCAGGGAAGCTCCCCGGACCCGCTCAGCAGTGGAAGAGAATGTCTAGGAAACAATCGTCCTGTAACTCACAGCACTTCCAAGAGCTGCTTTCTTACCGTGGCACGCCTTCCCTCACGGCCACCCTGCTTCCTCTCGCTGCTACCAGAAGCTCATTCCCCTGCACCCTTGTTACTTTCTCTCACACTGCTGCTTCCGTAAGGACTGAGTCTGATGATTGCCCCCCAAGCCGGGAGTTGGTCTCCTGCCACGTGACTTTGTTCTTATCAGCTTGCACCTGTGTGCTCGCCAGCAGCCCACGGTGTGAGGTGTGTATCACCTTTATGTGTCTAGGAAGAAATATGTATTCCATTTGACGGTGTAACCGACATTTTGGCTTGTCTCATGGAAGAGACTGAGATCTCGTATGGCTTCTGCATTTCTGATCCAGAGAGCCTGGTCCCTTGGGAGCGAGCAGTAGTGTTACTGAGAAGGGAAACCCTCACGTGCATTTAGCCTCCCTGTGCCTTACCTTTCTGCCCAGGTGTTTAGAGTTGGACCCGGGGTTGAACGTAAGATTATCATGGAGTCCAGATGAAGCTGTCCCCTTGGGCTTCCTGCATCTGACTTCGGAGAGGGCCTTGTTTTGCACACCTTGGATTCCTCTAGCTCCCCAAGACTGCGCCCCTCTGACCTCCTCCCCATCTGCAGCTCACGGCTGTCCTCTCCGGGTCTCTCACCCACCCAGCTTTTCCTGTGGGAGCACCTGTGCTGTTCTTTCCACCCAGAAAGCAAGCTCCTTCCCTTCCCTTCAATTTGTCTCTTTCTTTCCATCATTCAGACTCAGCTCAGATGTCGCTCTGAAGGAAAAGAAGCTTCCTCACTCTGACAGATGCCCTTGTTAACCCTCTTGTTGCGTTGAACGGTACCCTTGAAACGATGAACACAATTGTGTGTTATGTATGTTTTACCCGCCACTCCCACCCCGAACCTATGCTGTATCCTTGCTTTTCTTAGCGCTATCAGAGCTGTAAATAAACACTTTTGTTAATTTGTTGTTTACTGTCCCCCTCCTCTATGAGAACTCAAGTTCAGTGAGGGGGATACCCCACCTGTCTTACGCCCTGGAATGCGCAGACTGGTGCTGGGAGCATGGCAGGTGTTTAACAGAATTTTTGTTGAATGAATACTGAATTAGATGAGAGATCAGAAAGCCACAATTTCAGTCCTTTTCCTGAATCATTTCCTGTCTGGTGCCCCTGATCTTTGTTCGTGTTCAGCGCTCCAGGGTTGTCCGGTAAACGCTTGCTGACTGACTAATGGACTTAATCTAACCCTTAACATTATGTTAATTATTCTTGAAGGCTTTATTGTCTCCTCTTTTCTTAAATTTCATTTGTGTGTGGACAGGTGCCTTTAGACCATGACATGGCCAGCTCTGCTGTGTGTGCATCCTTCACAAGAGTGTGTGTGCGTGTTGAGTGAGGTTCTGGAAGGTTCTGTGAGTCCCATCGTCATATCAGTTTAGAGATGGGCAAGTTTCTCAGTTATGTCTGTGTGGAACAGACAACTCGGCCCTTCTCAGAATGACTCCCCCTGTTTCTAGAAAAACAGGTATAGTGCAAATGTGAGGTGGGAAGAGTCATTCATTATTTATTGAATGCCAGTGATACATCTGAGAATTCTTAGATGATTTGGACAAAGGTCCCATCCTTAGCTGTCCGCTCTGTGTCCATTAGACTGTAGGGTCATGGTAGAAGGTTCAGCCATACTTAGAACCTAGAGATTTAAAAACAGACTGTTTATTGATTGTGAGTGTATTCTCTATTCCTATAGCTTCTCTCTAATTAAGAAGTGCTCTAGGAAGGGCACTTAAAAAATTTTTTTTATGGATGTTCATATAATAATGGAGAGAAAACTGCTAGAAAGGATCACGTGCTTACTCTTCTTGCTTTGACAGTAAAGAAAAATGGGGGAAATAGACAGCGAAGACCAGCAGTAGTGTTCAAACTGGATTGAAAAGGCATCTCCCGTTTTGACTAAAATATCGAGTTGAGGTCAGGAAGGTAATTGCACCAGCCCTTTGAAGCCAACAGCCATTTGGAGCTTTTGAAGCAGAAAGCTCACTTCGAGAGCTTCTCAGCACGAGTGGCCTCCATCCAGGGGCACCCAGAGCTCTGTAAGCCAGCTGTCTCCCTGGTGCGCTCCACCGGGCCCGTCCCGGGGGAAGGTGGTCGGGGAGGACCAGCCAGGGAGCCCTGCCATCTGCCCGGGCCTCTGCCTGGGGCCTCACCCTGTGCTCTCGCCCAGGTTCCTCCTGATGATGGGCGTGCTCTTCTGCTGTGGAGCCGGCTTCTTCATCCGGAGGCGCATGTACCCCCCGCCGCTGATCGAGGAGCCGGCGTTCAACGTGTCCTACACCAGGCAGCCCCCGAACCCCACTCCAGGTCAGCCAAGCCCTCTGTCCTTGTCTCTCCTCCTTTCAGTTTACATGTTCTCTGTAAGCATGTTCTCTGCCACGGAATATGCTGGAAGAAAAAATTCAGGCCATGTTTATTCATTTAAGTTCTGATGATCAACCTTACTGTGCATTTGTGCTGATAATAAGTGCCATGTCTGCTGTGTTGTATGTCTGTCACCTCTTATTCTTACCTAATTATTGGTGCATCTTTTATGCATGTTTATACAGCACATTATTTGCTCTTTTTTCCTAAAAATTATTTCATGTGTAAATTTTTATGTAGAAACTGTACTGTCCATGATATTCTTAATGCTTCTGGACTAAATATTAATCGTGTTACTAAATGGTGATTTGCTTAGATAGTCTGTCCTTGCTGATCATTTGTTTTCTTTTGTTTTGCTTTTCATTCGTTCATTCAATAAGCGTTTGCTGTGCGTTTATGAGTATTGTGAGTACTTATTAGTTGTGCTGCTATAGACATGTCTGCACAAGTTACATTTGGCCTATTTAGGGAACATTACCCAGAGTGGTGCCCCAGGGTCAAAAAGAATTCGTGGTTTCCTGATTCTTATAAAACGCTGCTTTAACTACCTAAACCTCAGACATACTGTGGTGGGTGAATTCAAGTTTCCCTCGGGACACGAGCCCGTTCCTTGTTTTGAAATTACATGTGAGATGTTTCCCTTCCCTTTGGGGGCAGGGGGCGCCAGGGACTCTGCAGGGCTGGGGAGGCACTGCTCCTCGAGCTCCTGTCTTTGGGCCCGTGTGGTGGGCCAGTGGCTGTGTGGCTCCCTGCGTGCCACCTGCCCCGTCAGGCTTCCCACCTCCAGAGTGTGGGCGGGCTCCCTCTATTCATCACACGCCACAGGGAGACAGTCGGACATCTAGAGTTCTGTTCCAGTGTTTACAGAGTTCCGGTTCTGTAAGATAAGTCCTAAGATCTGCTGTACAGCGTGGGACCTATAGTTAGTAACGCTGTGTCGTATACTCACGCCTTTGCTGAGTGGAGGTCTTATGTTGTGTCATCACAAATTCAGAGGGCAGCAGGAAATGCTTGGAGGTGATGGACAGGTTTATGGCATATACTGTGGTGACGGCTTCACGGTGTATATGTATTTCTAAACTCATCAAGTTGTAGACGTTACATATGTTCACCTTTTTGTATGTCAATCACACCTCAAAGAGAAAAGAAAGAAGTTGGGGGATTGAGCGTGGGAAGAGCTGTCTCTCATCAGCCCTTTAGACACAGAGATGCAGAGACGGGCATTTGCTGGTCTGTGTTTTAGTTTTATTCCACCAAACACTCCGCCGGGTTTTCTTTTATTATTTTTTAAAACGTTGCTAAAAATCTGAATATGTGTTTTCCACAACAGTTCTGAGGTTGCTGTAGCTTAAACTTTCTCTCAGGGTTAGTACCACTTTTCATGCATAAGTGGATTTTTATTCTTTCATTTTTGGAAAGATTTGAATAGCTTCAAATCTATGCTCCAGCATAGGGCAAAGTGAAAATTTTCAGTTAAAATGGGAGGCCAAACCTAGATTTTATCTGGCTTAGTCTGAGTTGTCAGTCCTTTGATTTTTTTTTTTTCAAGAAGCAGACAGTAGATCAGAGACATGGGTAAAAGACTAATGAATTTCCTTTTCCTTCTGTCTTCATGACATGGATTTTTAGTGGCCTGTGTGGCCACAGACGCAAGATGCCGCGTGTGCTTGGCCCACAGCGTCAGGCCTGGGCTGGGGCCCGGGAGCGGAGCTGCCTGCACACAGCGGCCTCTTTTCTTCCTTTTTTTTTTTTTTTTTTTTTTGCGGTACATGGGCCTCTCACTGTTGTGGCCTCTCCCGTTGCGGAGCACAGGCTCCAGACGCGCAGGCTCAGTGAATGACGTATCAATGAAAAATTAATACAAAAACATATGCAATGTAAGTGAACTGACATTTAAAGGTAAATTCATAGCCTTATTCTTTGTTACAAGTTTAAAATAAGAAAGTGAATTAGCTGACCTCTCCTTGAAAGAGGTTCAGAAATTAATAAACTCACAGAAAGCAGTAAGAAGTACCTAATAAAAAATAAAAATTAATTACAGGAAAAAGAAAAATCGATTTGCAGATCTAAAAGTTAGTGCTTGGTGAAAGGCAATAAAAGTAAATGATATTGCTAATATAGGTCCAGAAAAAACTTTAATTGGAAAAGATACATGCACCCCTATGTTCACAGCAGCAGTATTTGCAATAGGCAAGACATGGAAGCAACCTAATGTCCATCGACAGATAAATGGCTAAGGAAGATGTGGTATATATACACAAAGGAATATTACTCAGCCATAAAAAGAATGAAATGATGCCATTTGCAGCAACATGGATGGACTTATCATATTAAGTGAAGTAAGTCAGAAAGAGAAAGACAAATACCATATGATATCACTTACATGTAGACTCTAAAATATGACACAAGTGAACTTCTCTACAAAACAGAAACAGGCTCACAGCCATAAAGAACAGACTTGTGGTTTCCAAGGGGGAAAGGGGTGGGAGAGGGATGGAGTGGGCGTTTGGGATTTCCAGATGCAAACTATTATGTATAGAATGGATAAACAACAAGATCCTGCTGTATAGCACAGGGAACTATATTCAATATCCTGTAATAAACCATAATGGAAAAGAATATAAAAAAGAATATATATATATATATATATATGTCACTTTGCTGTACAGCAGAAATTAACACAACGTTGTAAATCAACTGTCCTTCAATAAAGTAAATTTTAAATAAAGTAAATGACATTGCCAATCCCATCCCTAATAAATCTAATTAGTAAAGCTGGATAAAGAAGAAGTAAAATCATAAATTGAAACATTACACATCCAGAGATTAAAAATCACAAAGAAGTACTCCTGAAATGGAAAATTCTGGTAAGATAGGAAAGTGCACATTACCAAAGATTCATTAGAATATTGAAAATTTCAGTGTTCCACAAAGCAAGCAAGAGTTTGAGGATGTTTTCAAAGAGTTAGCTCTCCGAATGGCTCCAAGTTCACATGGTATCTTTGAAACTTTTAAGAAACAGTTCATGTCAATGCTTATGAATTACTACAAGTATAGAAAGTTATGGAAATTACCTAATTTGTTTTGTAAAGCTAGTATAACTTGTAGAACTAGTGTAACCAAAGTGAAATTATATTGGATCGTGTTTAATGATCGGAAATACAAAAATCTTGGGAAACGGAATTAAACAGTGTGTCTGCTCGGTTGGGGCGCTTGTCAGTCGACGCATCTCTGCTGAATCTAGGGCTCCCTCTCAAATCGCACAGAGACTCTCAAGGAGGAAGAGACGATGGCTGCAAGGGGTGGAATAACTTCAAGTCTCCGGAGAAGGAGGCTGTGGCCGGCTTAAGAGCGCAGCCCGGGGCGGGTGGTGGAGCCCGGGGAGCCTGGGCCGTGACAGCCCCCAGCCAAGCCCTTAGTCCTCGGATGGCGCCCAGAATGTCGGTCCCTCACGTCACCAGCCTTCTCTGGTTTTGCCCGTCCCTCTTTAGCCGGAACTTCTTCCCCCATTTCCTCACCCCGTTGTGAGACACACGCCGCAGTGGCGAGAGCCTGGGCTTGCCAGTACACTACTGGGTGCAAATTCCAGCGCCTCCATGTGGCAGCTGTGTGACCTTGGCACGTTTTGTCTCGCTGAGCCTCCGTGTCTTCAGGAAAGTGGATGCAAGGCCGATACCCTTGCTGTCCCCACCGCGCCCTCCGCATAGGGTAGAGATGCAATGCAGGTGAGGGAACAGCGGGGGCAGCGGTGTGGCTGCAGCCGTTTTGCCCACTTCTCCTGGTCCTTTCCTCTCTATCTCCTGGAGAAACAGTCTTCCTCTAACTCCAGCTTCTTCACAGACGCTCTGTCTTTTCTTTCTCTAACTAAACCATCTACCGTAAGCCTTCAGAATTGAAGGGCAAGTTCTCTTCTCCCACATTCCGCCCCCGCTAAGTTAGGGAGATGGTGCAGGTGTCCCCTTGTCTCCTGGCCATCATTTCTGTACCCTTACAGTCCCGGCTACTTTGAATCCCATGCCAGTTGGCTGTGCCGCTCTTTGTCACCATTTTGCTACTGTCTGTGAGCATCTCTTCTTTGAGGACTTGGGAATGTGTCTGCTCAAATCACCGACCCGCAGTGGCACGCAGTACAGAGGCTGCCTGTGTGAACGCCGGGTCCTTCTTCCCACGCACGGAACTGTGGGTCCCTGTGTGCTGCTTCTCTCTGCCCAATTGACAGGACGTGTTGGGTGCCCTCCTGTGTACCAGGCTCTTTGCTAGACAGTGGGGTTCAAATGTTGAACCAGGCTTATAAGGTCCCTGCCATCATTGAGCTTATATTCTCTGTAGAAATCCTCTCTCTTTCCTGTATTTCTGCCCCTACCTCTATAAACGCACTCAAGCATTTCCCATCCTTAAAAATACTTCTGCCGTAAGAATATACAGTGGGGAAAACACAGTCTCTTCAGTAAGTGGTGCTGGGAAAACTAGACAGCTACATGTAAAAGAATGAAATTAGAATATTTTCTCATACCACATACAAAAATAAACTCAAAATGGATTAAAGACCTAAACGTAAGCCCTGAAACATAAAACTCCTAGGAGACAACATAAAGCAGAACACTCTTTGACATAAGTCCTAGCAATATTGTTTTTGGATCTGTCTCCTAAGGCAAAGGAAACAAAAGCAAAAATAAACAAATGGGACTACATCAAACTAAAAAGCTTTTAACAGGGAAGGAAACCATCGTCAAAACAAAAAGGGAACCTTCTGAATGGGAGAAAATATTTGCAAATCATATATAAGGGGTTAATATCCAAAATATATAAAGAACTCATGCAACTCAACAACAAAAAAACCAAACAACCTGATTAAAAAATGGGCAGAAGACCTGAATAGACATATTTCCAGAGAAGATATCCAGATGGCCAATAGGCACGTGAAAGGACGCTCAGCATCACTGATCACCAGGGAAATGCAAATCAGAGTCACACCGAGATATCACTGTCAGAATGGCTAACATCAACAAGTTAGCGAGGATGTGGAGAAAAGGGAACCCTGTGCACTGCTGGTGGGAATATAAGTTGGTGCAGCCACTATGGAAAACAGCATGGAGGTTCCTCAAAAAACTAAAAATAGAACTAATAGAAATAAAATGATCCTGCAGTTCTACTCCTGGATAAAACGTCCAAAGAAAATGAAAACACTGATTTGAAAAGTACATGCCACCCAGTATTCTTAGCAGCTCTATGTACAGTAGCCAAAATACGGAAGTAAACTAAGTGTCCATCAACAGATGAACGGATAAGAAGACCTGGTGTATATGTGTGTGTGGATATATATATACTGCATTACACACACACACACACACACACACACACACACACACACACACACACACAATGGACTACTACTCAGCCATAAAAAAGAATAAATTTTTGCCATGTATAACAATGTGGATGGACCTGGAGGGTATTATGCTAAGTGAAGTAAGTCAGACAGAGAAAGACAGATACTGTCTGTTATCACTTACATGTGGGATCTAAAAAAATACAACGAATGAATATAACAACACAGAAGCAGACTCACAGACATAGGGAGCAAACTAGTGGTTACCAGTAGGGAGAGGGAAGGATGGAGGGGCAAGATAGGGGTAGGAGGTTAAGAGGTACAAACTGCTATGTCTAAAATAATAAACAAGGATATATTGTACAGCCCAGGGAAATATAGCCATTATTTTGTAATAACTTTAAATGGAGTATAATCTATAAAAATTTAGAATCACTGTGTTGTACACCTGAAACTAATATAATCTTGTAAATCAACTGTACCTTAATTTAAAGCAGTTTTTTTCTGTTTGTTTTGTTTTGGCTGCGTTGGGTCTTTGTTGCTGCGTGCAGGCTTTCTCTAGTTGCAGTGAGCCGGGGCTACTCTTCGTTGCAATGCACGGGCTTCTCATTGTGGTGGCTTCTCTTGTTGTGGAGCACAGGCTCTAGGCACGTGCGCTTCAGTAGTTGTGGCACGCAGGCTCAGTTGTTGTGGCTCGCGGGCTCTAGAGGGCAGGCTCAGTAGTTGTGGTGCACGGCCTTAGTTGCTGTGCAGCATGTGGGATCCTCCTGGACCAGGGATTGAACCCGTGTCTCCTGCATTGGCAGGCGGATTCTTAACCACTACGCCACCAGGGAATTCCCTTAAAGCAGTTTTTTAAAGAATTTAAAAAAAAAAAAAAACACGTCTGCCCTTGTCATGCATCCCTTTAGCCACCACCCCTCCCCTCTGGTCTTCACCCCTTACCCTGGAGCAGCTGTTTGCCCCGGCAGCTGGGCTTCTGTGCCAGCCATGGTGCTGAAACCGCTGGCCAGAAATCCCGAATGTCCTGTGGGCTGAGAAGGCGCGGTGCTGCCCTGTCCCCTCCTGAACCCCGCCCGGTGACACAGCTCCCGCCTCACTGCTTCACTCTTTCCTCGCATTCTCCTTTCATTCTTTGCTGCCGCCTACGCCTCCTGTGTTTCTCCTCGTCTGACTGCTGGCCTTGTCTGCGCTGCTCTCCCCAGCCGTCCTCTGGCCCTTCTACACACTCCTCCTGGGAGGTTTCGGCCAAGGCCACGTCTGTGCTGCCACTTCCACAAAGAAGGCCCCCAGAGCTGCCTGGGCTCCCGCGGGCCCTGCCCTTTTCCTCTGTCCCCTCTCTCGCCTGGTGGGCCCCTTATCAACACCAGGAGCCGGGCCTTTCCGAGGCAGGCCTCTCCTCCTCCCGACACACTCCACACTGAGCTGGTCCCGGGTCCTTGGTTACACCTCCTGGGCCCCTCTCTCGTTCTCTTGTCCCCATTTCTTCTCTCATATTCAGAGGCTTCCATTGTGTCTTTCCCGGACTATTACACTAGCCTCTTTTTATTCATCTTTAACTTTTTATTTGTATAAAATATAAAGGGATTCAGAGATAAATAAAGTATAATCTCTGCCCCTGAGAAGCGCACGGTCCTGGCTGGTCACGGGCTTGTATACAAACATGTCTTGTAAACGAGCCCGTCTCCTGGCAGCAGGCAAGATGCACCAGGAGAAGCAGGTGCCGTCTGTTGGGCCACACAGGTGTGAGACGAGGCAGGAGCTGATGAAGGTGCCACCTGTGGCTGACGGCGTCCTCCCGACACCCTCGAGTGCCTCTCTGGCCAGGTGTTTCTGTCCTGTACTCTCTCCTTCAGCACACTTGTAGATTTCCAAGACCTCCTGCACACCTCGGTGGGCATCTTTCCGGGAACCTGACCTTTATTCAGTTAAACTGTGGCAGAGGAAGATTTGCACAAAAAAAGACCCTACACGATACACACGCAGAGATGACCTCTCTGGTGCCCGAGTGTCTCCTGGGTTGAATGAGGCCTAACTCAGATACACCTGATTTCACCCAGCCCACATAAAACCCGGAGCCCACAGTTTCTCTTCTTGATTCTTTAATTGTTTAGTCAGTATCCTGTCATGTTGTCAACACGATCAGAAAAAGCAGATTTAAGGAATAGGCTCCAAAGCAGCAGCTCAGGTATTTCTACTGTTAACATGAGAGTTAGGGGGCCTCCCCAGTGGCGCAGTGGTTGAGAGTCCGCCTGCCGATGCAGGGGACGCGGGTTCGTGCCCCGGTCCGGGAAGATCCCACGTGCCGCGGAGCGGCTGGGCCCGTGAGCCATGGCCGCTGAGCCTACGACGCGTCCGGAGCCTGTGCTCCGCAACGGGAGAAGCCACAGCAGTGAGAGGCCCGCATACCGCAAAAAAAAAAAAAAAAGAGAGAGAGAGAGTTAGGGCTAGATTTGGGGCAGGGTGACCAGTGTATTTCCTCTTGTCACCGTCTATGCTCTCTGGACCCCCGTGCCCTGCACCCTGGCCCGCAGCAGGGCTCAGCCTGCATCCTACAGCCTCTCCCTGAGACAAGAGCATCCTTCTCCTGCAGCATCCAGGGCAGGGAGAGAGTCCACAGACATGTCAGCCCACCCCGCTGGCATCCACCCCGTAGGTCGTCGCCTTATCTGGGAAATGGGTTCACCTGGATGACAGGTACTCTGCCCTGATTAAACGTTAATCCAGCAGGTGGGAGTGGAGCTGATACTTCAGCAAACTGTTCTCAGAAAGTGCGTGGAGGCGCCGGTGATGGTTCTGGCCGAGATTCGGGAACACAGGGTCCTCTTGTCGGTTCTCTCTGAGTTGACTCACCTTTCCACGCCCAGGCTGTTTAGGCTGTAAGGGACACTCGGCCCTCTCCGTTGGTAATTTCTTGGTGCACCTCCCCGAGGTCTTGGTCCCTGCCGCACCTGATCCCGCTAATGTCCCTCCGTCACTTAGACACCCTCTTGGGTTGTGGTGCTTTCTGGCTGTCTGCATCCAGTAGAGGAGAAGCTCCGGGAGGCCGGGGCTGGCATGTCCCCTTTGCTCGTCACCTGATCCCGGGTGCCCTGCTGTGTCTGGGCCCTGGCTGTGATGGGCTGTGGGTTTTTTCTGCTGTGCTCACATCTGCTTACCTGTCTTTCAGGAGCCCAGCAGCTGGGGCTGCCGTTTTACACCGACCCTGGAGGACCAGGGGTGAATCCTGCTGGGAACCCTGTGGCGATGGCTTTCCAGGTCCAACCCAACTCACCCCAGGGAAGCATGGCCTACCCACCGCCCCCTTCCTACTGCAACACGCCACCGCCCCCATATGAACAGGTGGTGAAGGCCAAGTAGCCGGGAGCGGCCTGGCACCTGCCTGTGCAACTGGCCGGGGAGGCCGGGGGAGGCTGTCACCCGCCCTCCCTGGCGCCCCATCACTGTTCACCTCCAGGAATGGTCTTCTGAGCCACTAAGGGCAAATTCCTTTCCGATATCTTCAAAGCAAGCACAGCTTCCTTTCAAGCTTTCCTTGGAGGACCAGTATTTGAATTCACCCCGTGTCTCCTCTGTTGCTTCTGTTTCCAATGTCATCTGTGCTCTGGCCGAGTGGACAGTCCCGAGGGTTGACCCCCAAGGGTGGCGCACCCAGACCCTCAGGGGAGAGACCCCGGCAGAAGGTGAGGCAGGGCGCGTGCAGGTGAGTACGCGCGAACGCGAGGAGGGGCCCAGGGCGCCCGGAAGGCCCCCCACACGGCAGGTGGCCCGTCTGAAATGAGGCACCACAGGGCCAGCTGTGTGAGCCCCTTGCCCGTCAGTCTTCCTCTTCCAAAGGCTCTCAGAGAAACAGGCGTGGGCAGCGCAGCCTCGGAGCCCTCGCTTCTCCATCCCCTTCCTGAAGACCAGAGCTGCCCTCTGCACAGCCAGGGCGGGGAGAGCCCTGGGCACGGCTTGCACCTCAAGGAGATGGGGATCCAGAGTCAGGCCAAGCCGCTGTCTATAGTTACCTGAAAGTCACTAAGGAACGTTATTTAAATTCATGGGAAATTGCCCCCTGCCTCCAACCGGACATTGTGTTTGATGAGCTCTTGGTCTGACTTGGGGAAAAAAGTGTTCGAGCCCTTTTCAGTGTGTCCTGTGGAAGGTGGCGTGGAGTCCTGTCCTGAGGTCAGACTCGGAGTCTTTCCTGGACATCGGCAGCTCTCTGGCCTGGGATCACGGCCAGGCAGCTCTGCGCCCTCCCCTGAGGTAGCTCTGACGGTGCGTTGTGATGGACGCTTTCAAAGCAGACAGGCACATCCGGCTGGGAAGCCACGTCAGCCTCTGGAGAGAGGTGTCCCAGCAGGGCGCAGTCAGTGGCTCGAGCCTGGGTTGGGCAGGCCTGGGCCCTGGCTGGTTGGCCTCAGCAGGTGTACGCCGGGCTCCGAACAGGAGGAGCTTGCTAAGAAAGAGACGGGAACGCAAGACCCCAGGACTGCAGAGCGATCTCTTCAGAAAGGGCTGAACAGATTTCACTGATGATGAGTTCATCAAAATTAGAATAAAGAAGATCTGGTTGGAAACGCAAAGCCTGGCTCAGAAACCTCTCTGGCCCTGGGATCACAGGTAGTCCTGGGGTTGTCAGGGGGCCGGGGTCCTGTTCCTCTGCGTAGCGAGTACTGCCCACGATCGCGTATTTAAACCCAGAGTGAGCCCTGACAGGTCACGTACAGGAAGGGCAAAGCCGCGTAGCCGAGACATGTAGATCCCTGTATATGTAGTGGTGGGGTGAAGTGCTTTTTTTTTTTTTTTTTTTTTTTTTTGCGGTACGCGGGCCTCTCACTGTTGCGGCCTCTCCCGTTGCGGAGCACAGGCTCCGGACACGCAGGTTCAGCGGCCACGGCTCACGGGCCCAGCCACTACGCGGCATGTGGGATCTTCCCGGACCGGGGCACGAGCCCCCGTCCCCTGCATCGGCAGGCGGACTCTCAACCGCTGCGCCACCAGGGAAGCCCAGAGTGCTTATTTTTGAAATGAACTCAACAGAGCCTCTTGAGGAGTTGTCACTCATTGAACCTGAGCGTCAGGACATCTCACCGAGTAGATACTGAGGGTTTTCATTCCCTAGCCCTAGTTGCCGTGTCCCTGCTCTACTGGGACACGTCTGTGGTGTAGGAGTGAGGAATCAGGATGGGGCCACAGTGACTTACCTTTTCTAAGGGTGGGGAACCTGGGAGCCTCCCCGGGAATCCCACAGGACACTCCTGGAGCCAGATGAACCCCTTGGAAACAGTCTGTGAACACGGATGCTGCTGCCGGTGTCTTTGACCACCGAGTGTGACCTCCGAACTCCTGGGCCCAACGTCAGTACCTCCCCGCACTCAAGTCCTTGATTCTAACGAGACAACAAAGCGCAACATTTGCTGTTTACAACCCAGGACAACTACATGGGTCCAGAAGGTCCTCTTCCTCCAGGTCATTCGTTCTGCATCTTCAGGCCCAGTTTCTCCCTTTACTGTTCTGAGGAGGAAGCGCGCCGAGAGCTGCCCCTGGCGTTGGCCTGGGCACAGCTGAGTAGCCACCCAAACGTCCGTGACGAAATTTTGTTTATCTTTTTGATAGCAAATGATCTTGAGACAGTGATTTATGTAGCACTCAACAGTTTTATATTCATGTTTGTGTGAGATAAATTTTGTTTTCCCTTGAACCGGGGTGAGAACCCGCTACTGTGGGCACTGACACTGTGTGTGGAAATTCCACTCGCAGTGACATTTCCTGCCCATTCTGTTTCCCCCCGTGCTGTCGGTGGACAGTGCCCACTGCCTGGAGCCGGTCCAGCTCCTGGTGTGTGAAGTTCCACAGAGTTCCGTAGCAGGTGTGGCCAGGAGGAGCTGGGAGCAGATCCGTGCGTGCTTTTCCTCTTGTAACACTCGGCTTATTTCTCTTTTCTGTTCTTTTGATAGGGTCGTGTTTCCTATGTATGCAAAATAAAAATAAATTTGGGTGTGTGCTTTGACTTTTTTGCTGGGGAGTGGGAAAGAGGGGAGCGACGAAGTTTCTGAAGAAGGATGCACAGTGGGCTCTCAGTTCGGCTGGGTGGGGTGGAGCGCGTGAGGAATGCACCCAGTCTCAGGAGAACTGGAAATTAGATGCTGTCCAAGAAGATAAGGAACTTTTGTTTTACCAACACATTTAAAATATCTAGCTAAGGAAAAAATTATCGGAATAGGAAGACAGAAGCATTAATTATATGGACTCACAGCTAATACTGATATTAATTATCTGGGGGCCTGAGTGTGCTTTGCATAGGTAGGGGAGCCTTGATTTTAAAATCCAACTCTAGGGCTTCCCTGGTGGCTCAGTGGTTAAGAATCCGCCTGCCAACGCAGGGTACACGGGTTCGAGCCCTGGTCCGGGAAGATCCCACATGCTGCGGAGCTACTAAGCCCGTGTGCCACAACTACTGAGCCCACGTGCTGCAACTACTGAAGCCTGTGCACCTAGAGCCCATGCTTCACAACAAAGAGAAGCCACTGCAATGAGAAGCCCGCGCACCACAAAGAAGAGTAGCCCCCGCTCGCCGCAACTAGAGAAAGCCCGCGCACAACAAGGAAGACCCAATGCAGCCAAAAATAAATAAATAAATTTAATAAAGAAAAGAAAGAATCCAACTCTATTTGGTCAGAAACTGTATTTCTCTCACAGATCCACAGCTGCTACAGTTAGGCTGTATTTTAGATGAATCACCAACTGAGATAATGTTTATCAAGAAGTGTCTTACAATTTACTATATTAAAACAGGACAGGAAACAAGGTAGAAGAGGCCAGCCTGCCTGCTGGTGGGGAACGCAGAGCTGAGTTAGACGCCTCCCTGGACACCCCGCTGGTCCTCAGCTTCCCCCAGTGAAACGGGAGCAGGTCGTTTACACATCAAAGGTCATGACTGGAGACGGCAAACAGTACTCACTCTTGTCTGTCCCTCCCAAATTTCACGGAACTCCAAAAAGTCCATAATAGTTATCAAGGCAAAAAAGTGCAAGATCAGAAATTGTAATTTCTGAAATAGAAGGTGAGTTGCTGTCAAGAAAGGGTAGGGAGGGAAAGGCAGTAGTTGGCTTCGTCATGCCTGTGATGGTCAGGAGGAAGTTAGCAGCGTGCCCCCGTGTGGGTGCAGAAGAGATGCGGATACGGATTGCAGAAGTCGTGTCCTCTCGCCAGAGCCCTCATCCCCCAAAACCTGCTAACCACTCGTGCCCTTGAATGAGTTTCTCCCCTCAGAGGTGACAAGGTTGTACTCACAGGCAGCTAGGACCTTTCTCACCTGAGTCTAGGACTGGGCCCTAGGATGCAGGTACAGGAGTTGGATGGGTGGAGGGGTGAGGGGGGCAGAAAGAAGGTGACAGGATCCACCGAGGGCAGAGTCTGGTGGGCGGGAGGCCTCCTGTCTCCAGGTCCCCGGGCAGGCAGTCCCGCTCTCCACGCCCCTTCTCTGCGCTGCCCTGAGATGCGAAGCCTGGTCCCTCCCTCCAGGCGGCGGAGCGGGGAAGGTCCGTTTGTCTCGTCCTCAAGTACCCAAAGGCCCCAGTGCCCGGCACGTGTAGTTCGGTTCTGGGGAGACCTGGGAAGGCACGTCCGCGCCTAGCTCAGGCCGGTGCCCGGCCAGCCGAGTCCCCCAGAGCCTGGGGAGGACGCTCTGGGCGCGCTGACCTTGGAGACCGGCCCCCTCTGCCCACCTTCTGCGCTTGCTCTCACCGTGCCGTCCTCGTCGCCCTGTGTTGTGGTGAGGGCCCTGGCTTAAAACTCGCGGTGGAGCCGCGCGAGGGACCATACGCGCACATGGACGGGCGTTCCGGACGCCCTGCCTCGGAGTCGCCCTGACGACTGGGGGCACGGGACGTCCTGGTGTCCCCGTTTCCTCATCTGGAAAGTGGGGCTACGGAGGCGCCCAGGGTGTGGTGCGAGTTGGACAGCCAGCGACGCACGCGACACCCCGCGATGAGCCCGGTACCGGGGACCGCGGCTTCTGCGCCCAGATCGCCCGCCCAGAGAGGGGACCGGAGACTGGGCCCCGGGCCGCGCCCCAGCCCCGCCCCGCCCCGCCCCAGGTTGGGGCGCGGCACCTGCGTGAAGCGGGTGGGGCGGCCCCGGGGAGGTTCCAGGAGGGGACCCTGCTTAGCCCTTCGTGGCAAAGTCCCTGCTGATATTTTTTTACTCAAAACCAAACCCATGCCTTTATTTTTAATCTAAAATGAAGACCGTACAGGAAAGCACAAAGCAAAAGGTAAACAGAAATCACCTGCGACCCCAGTATCCCGAGACTGCAGCTGGGCGTGTTTCCGTCGCTTTCTAGGTCCCTCGCTCTGACGACACAGGTGCACCGCGGGATCCTTCGTAGCCCGCTTTCCGCTAGCATTTTCCCTGGCATTTAAATAGTCTCCTGCTTCTTCCCTGCAACGATTAAACAGCGCCCCACCACACGGCTGCGCCGCAGGTGATTTAACCCACACACTCCGATCTAATTTTGGGGTCGCTCCATTTTATTTTTCATTTTTAAACAGCAAAGTATTCTACACACCCAGAATAATGAGCGTAACTTTTGCCTAAGGCGTATGGTGGATGCCTGCCGGATGCTCGGGAGCGAGCGGCGAGGGGCCGGGCCGGTGGTGGGTGAGGACGCAGGGGACCCGAGTCGCCCTGAACTCCCGCCGGGCCCCGAGGCGCTCCCTCCCGCGCCAGCCCGGACCCCCCGGGCCGTGGACGCCTAGTCCCGGATGACTGTGCGGGCCGAGATCGCCTACAAACCCCCAGGACGGTGGCTGCCGTGGAAAACCAGGCTTTCTTGTGACGCCTCTCAGTTTGCTGGCATAACCGCGGATGCTGCAGGGCAGATGTACTCACGTGAACACGCTCAGGACACAGGACGGAGGCGCCCCGCGCAGCTGCTCCACTGCGCCGCCTACCACCGCCTGCATTTTACGTTTACCACCGCCTGCTTTTCTTCCTAATTTTACCACATATATGTTTTGTTTCACTTTTCGGTATTAATGTAGTTCTCCAACTTGCTTTTTTTGCAAAAATTGTTGCTAATTTTTCCCTATTATGGACAATGCTGTGCTGAGCGAGCTTGTGACCATTTTTAATGTTCATCCACATTTATTTCCTCAGAATAAAACCTTAGACTTAAATTGCTGGCTCGAAGCATCTGTACCTTTCTTCGGGCTTTCGGCAAATATTCCCATTAGGAAGATTGTACTGACGTGTCCCAGCAGGCTTCGCAGGCACTGCGTAAGAGCCACGGTCCATGCATAGCTACCAACTTGAGGAGGGGCTGGAAGCCCCATTTTTGTTCAATTTGTATCATTTATTACATGAATCTCTTACCAACTGTGAGAAGCACCTTCTCGAAAGGTGTGTGGTTGGCAAGACCAAGGCTGGCAAGACTAAGCTCTCATGGAAAAGAGAAGGTTGGGGAGAAAACATGAAATATAGCATATATTAAATAAATATATTTATGAAATATTTATGATATAGAAACGTAGCACTGAATATATATAGCATTAAGTATATAGATACATGAAATGCAGCTTTAAATATATATTACGAGTGGAGTAAGTAAAACTTCTCTAAGCCGTCCACCCCCAAATACCTCTGGCACTCTTCTCCTAAATGTCCTTCCTCAGTTTATTATTCGGGTGGCAGCATCACGGTCTGGGGCAGCCTCTCCCCTGTTCTTTGAGGACGCACACATCCTACCTCTTGAAGTGTTTGAACCAGCCCAGACCTGGCAACCTGAGTCCTCATCTTCATTCTTCAGTGAGCACACTGTACTCATCATGGGCTCTGGAGTCAAAGCATCTCTGCCGCTGAAGCTCACTGGTTAGCCTCCGGTGAGGGATTCTGCACTCTGAGCATCAGCTTCCTCAACTGAACCGTGAGGACAGGAACACCTCCATGTTGTTTGGTTTAATCCAACCCCCATTCCCTTCCCTGTTTCTTCTGTAGAAGCCAGAAGAGCCACACATTTTCTTTGCGACGGGCACAGTCTTGGCCAATGATAGATACTACAGAAGTCTACTCTGGGCCTCTGGGAAAGATTTCACTTTTGTCATAAATGAGACTGGAGTTGCTGGCACTTGCCACATGCAGGTTCACCCTGCTTTCAACACTGATGTGATATCTGGAGCTGCAGCAGCTACCTTGTGACCATGACGGAAAGGCCAAGATGATCACAGAGATACCAGCTTTCATAGGGTTGAACCAATTCTAGGTTTCTTATTACCTGAAAAAATAAATTCCTGTTAATCAGAGATTTTCTGTAGTAACCTTCCTTGCGGGGTGGTTGTGAGAATCATGTGAAGTAATTTTTTTAAGGACTAAATACAGTACCTGACACTGATAAATATTTTATGATTATTTTTAGTAGTGTGATCTCAGTTGCCACAGGGTATTTTCGACTCTGATATATGCATGGCCAGGAGTACGAAGATGCTTGTCGAAGGTGATTCTCTGCTTCCAACTAGCATCAGTGACCTTGGGCAAGTCTTGAACCTCTATGGGCCTCAGGCTTCCTCAGCTGCTTATAAAATAATCAAAATTCCCTCTCAGCTCTAAAATTCTTTGATTTTATTTTCTTTTCCCTAGAAATCTTTCCATCACAGGATGTAGCATCCCGACTGACGAGCAGAGAAGGATGTGGAGGGCGTGTGATATTCCTAGTGCAGTTTACAAGTCCCTCAGGACACCCTGGGACTCCCAACCAGGCCTCTGCATGTGATGCAGTACTGAGTACAAAATACCACCTAAGAGAGTCTTGCCAAAAATGTCCAACCGGGATATAACCACATCTGGAGCAGCGTTATCCGACAGAAATTTTTATGATGATGGAAATACTTGCACTGCCCAGTACAGTAGCCACGGGCTAAATGTGGATATTGGGCACTTGAAATGAGGCTAGGGTACATATGGCTGATTCACCTTGTTATACAGCAGAAACTAACACAACATCGTAAAGCAATTATAGTCCAACAAAGATATTAAAAAAAAGAAATGAGGCTAGGGAGATGCAGGAACTGGATTTTAAAATTTAACTTAATCTTCATGAAACTAATTTACATTCCGATACTCACCGGTGGCTAGTGGTTACCATATTGGACAGTGTAGCTCCAGAGTCCAAACTGAACCTCCGAGTTGCAGGAAGTGGGAGATGGCAGGACAAGTTTCCGTGGGGAAAGAATCAGACAAACTCACGGGGGAGATTTATAAGACAACAGTCCTGGTGTCCTCAGAAAGTTGATGTCGTTAAAAACAAAACAAAAAAGCAGGTGAGTGTCCTAGGTTATGAAAAGATTAACAAAATATAAAGCAGGAACCTAGATTGGATCCCGACGGAAAACAACAATACAGACTTAAAGCACTCCTGACTCGGTCGGGGCACCGGACATGGCCTGGATGCAGCATAATATTACAGAATCATTGTTAGTTTTCTCAGGTGTGACACTGGTATTGTGATTATGCAGCACATTATTATAATAGTAATTTATTTTTGGCGGCGTTGGGTCTTCATTGCTGCGCGCGGGCTTTTCTCTGATTGCGGCGAGCGGGGGCTGCTCATTGTTGCAGTGCGCGAGCTTCTCATTGCGGTGGCCTCTCGTTGCGGAGCACAGGCCCTAGAGCACAGAGGTTTCAGTGGTTGCAGCACGCGGGCTCAGTAGTTGTGGCTCACGGGCTGTAGAGTGCAGGCTAAGTAGTTGTGGCACACGGGCTTAGTTGCTCTGCAGCGTGTGGGATCTTCCCGGACCAGGGATTGAACCTGTGTCCCCTGCATTGGCAGGCAGATTCTTAACCACTGAGCAACCAGGGAAGCCCCTACATCATGTTTTTTAAAAGCTCCCATTGGATCACATTGGTTTACAAACATGCTATTTAAAAAAAAAAAAAGTTTTTTCTTGATCTTATTTCTCTTACCAACTATGGCCCCATTTCTTTCCTCTCTTTTGCAACCAAACTCCTTTTAGCGTTGTCTGTTTTGCTCACCAATTCACCAAGGACCTCCAGGCTGCTGGATGCAATGGCCAACTCCTAGCATTTCTCTCACTTACCAGGATCGGCTGAAACAGCTGGTCGCTCCTCTGCACACGTAAAATTTCCTCACTGGCCTCCAGGAAAACAGACCTCTACCCAATGAGGTAGAGGTCTTCTTCTCATCCTCCTTTGCTGGAGCAAACTCCTCCCGATTCTTGGTGTTACGTGGCCAAGGCTCTGCCTTAGCTCCTTCCTTCCCTATTCCCTTTCCCCTCACTTTCTGGGTGAGCTCTCTCAGCTCATAGCTGTAAATAATCAACATGCAAATGACTCCAAAGTGTCAGTTCCCTCCCAGATTTCTCTCCAAAGTCCGGCCGTCCCGGTCACCTCAGACTCCACATGCCCTGACCCCCGACTGGCCTCTTCCACATCTCAGCTGCTGGCGACGCCCCTTCCAAGGCTAACTCTGCTCTCTCGTGCTCTGCACTGGCCGTCAGGAATCCTACTGGCTCTAGGACACAGCAAGAGGCCGACCATTCTCGCCAAGCCCACATCATTTCTCTCCTGGACCAGCCTTCTGGTTTCCCTACGTCCACCAGGCATTCTCTCAGGATGTCCCCTTCGACGCATCAATCAGATAACATCCTTCCTTTGCTCAAACCCTCCAGTGGCTCTGTACTTCACCCAGAGCAAAAGCCAAACTCCTCCGAATGGCCTTCCAGGCCCGGGCCTTCCTTCCTCCCCGCCCCCTCCCCCGTGTGGTCATTCACTCCACTCTTGAACAGGGCACGGCCTTTGTCAGGTGCTCTTTCCACAGGTACTCATCTGGCCAACTCCTTCAATTTCTTCAAGTCTTGGCTCAAATGTCACCGTCTCTAGTCTTACTCTGACCATCCTGTTTAAAACAGTAATTTGGGTTCTCTCCACCATCAGTCCCTCTTATTTTGTTTTATTCTATCTTTCTTTCCGTATTATTTATTACCTTATAACATAGGAGAACAGTTGTCTATTCAACCTTATTGCTTGTCTCTCGCTGCTACACAAACTCTACAAGATAAAACTTTTTGACTGTTTTGATCACTGATGGATTCCAAGTGCCCAGAATAATGTGTGGCATTGAATAAGCCCTTCATGACTATGTGTTGAATAAATTAAGATCCTCAAAGAGATAAAATATTGCAACAAGAAGAGGATATACACAAAAGATACCCTGAGAACAAGAAAAACTCCTGGAACTAAACACACAATGGAAGGATTCGAAAATAAAGTTGAAATCTCTTGGAAAGGAAAGCAAAAAGGTGGAAGGGAAAAAAACATTAAGAAATAATTCAAGAAAATTTCCTAGAATTGAAACACACAAGTTCCCAGATTGGAAGGGCCTACCAAGGACCCAGGACTACGTCGACAGATGAATGGATAAAGAAGATGTGGCACATATATACAGTGGAATCTACTCAGCCATAAAAAGGAACGAAATTGAGTTATTGGTGGTGAGGTGGATGGACCTAGAGCCTGTCATACAGAGTGAAGTAAGTCAGAAAGAGAAAAACAAATACCGTATACTAACATATATATATGGAATCTAAGAAAAAACCAAAAAGTTCTGAAGAACCTAGGGGCAGGACAGGAATAAAGATGCAGACATAGAGAATGGACTTGAGGACACGGGGAGGGGGAAGGGTAAGCTGGGACGAAGCCAGAGAGTGGCATGGACATATATACACTATCAAATGTAAAATAGATAGCTAGTGGGAAGCAGCCGCATAGCACAGGGAGATCAGCTCGGTGCTTTGTGACCACCTAGAGGGGTGGGATAGGGAGGGTGGGAGGGAGATGAGAGAGGGAGGAGATATGGGGATATATGTATATGTACAGCTGATTCACTTTGTTATAAAGCAGAAACTAACACACCATTGTAAAGCAATATACTCCAATAAAGATGTTAAAGAAAAAAAAAAAAAACCCAGGACTAGGCTCATCATCGTGACAGAGAAAAAACTGTACAATTTGCAAAGTGCTCACAATCAAAACACAACATCTGAGCACAAGGAAACAAGAATCACTGTGGCTCTGAGGTTCTCGGAGGTAACACTGGAAGCTAGATGTCAGTACGATGCCTTGAAATTTCAGGAGGAAAGTGGCTTCCAGTGCAGAATTCTCTAAACAATCTCTGATTCAAGTGTCAGGGCAGAACAATGACACCCTTCAGGCAGGCAAGTTCTCAGGACTTTCAGTTCAGCTGCAGGGAGCATGGTCCTTCTTGCTACTGGAGAGCCTCTGGAGGCAGCACCGTCCTGTTCATTACCCCCCTTTTAGTTCCCAGCAGCCAAGCATAAAGCGCTGGATAACTTCCCTGTGGCCTCTCTGACGAAATGGTTGAAAAGCTGGCTTCCTCAGTTCTTGGGACCGTGGGAGACACTTGTATGATTGTGGGTGGATATGTGATTACGCTGCTTGCTACATGTTTTATTTTCTCATGAACAATATTTTAAGGAGGGCATAAGGTCCCTGTTAACATGTGACCAGCACTGCATCTGATGATGATCTTATGAAAGCCACAAGGATCTACCTGGTACAGAAGCGGGAAGACCTCCAGGGGCATTAAACAAAGAACAGGCTGGAGGACGGAGAACCCAGCCTCTCTGAACTTCTAGATTTTGTTTGTGTAAGCCTGAAACTGTGGCTTGGTTCCTCCTTGCCCCTGTGGCAGACTCTTCCCCTTGAAGGACCCTGGTGCGGCTGGGCACACACGCCCACGCCCACGCCCACGATGGCCGAAAGCTCGGGGATGCTAGGCAGAGCAGTGGTGCGCGATGGTGGCGTGGCTTGGGATTTTGGAGCTGGACAGACCTGGGTTTTCATTTCATTACTCAGGGGAGTGAGCCCGTTTCTTCACACACAAGCACTACATGCACACCTTCAAGTCCCCCATCACAGAGCACTTCCGCATGCTAGATGCTTTCTCCATTTGTTATTCCGTTTTAATTCTCCCACTAACCAAATAAGGTTGGTTAGTCCAAATACGGTCCTGATTACACAGAGACTCTGCAGGAAACAGCTGATCCAAATTCACACAGCCTGCTCCAGCCTCTGCGCTGGATGCCCACTCCACAGGCTCCTTGACGACTGGGGCCAGCCGCAGCCTCACGCCAGAGGTCACGGCGCTGCAAGGCTGAACCGGTCACGCTTCGCCGCGGTGCCCTCCTGCCATTAGCAGAAGTGCACGCCTGGAGGCCCGCCGCCCCGCCCGCGCTGCGGAGGAGCTGTCCGAGGTCCTGACACAGGCGGGCCGGCCTGAGCCTGAGCGGGGCTGCGCCCTTCTGCAGGCGTCCGTCGCGGGGCCGGGCGAGCTGCAGGAGGGTGGCTGTCGCCGTCACTCTCGGCACCGAGCACAAGGCCTGGCATGCTGGGTGGAGCACTTGAGCAAACTGGAGACGGAAATGGGGGCAGGGGCGCGTTGTGAGGCCGACTGGACGCGTCATAGCCTCCGTCACCCAGAGACCCAACCCCAGGGAGCAGGGGCCATGGAGGAGCCTGCGACCTTCCTCTGATCAGGAGAAGCGATGACGCAGCACGGCCTTCCAGGCCACCGGCCAGTTTGACAGAAGGCTGACAGGCGCTGGGGGTGACCGTCTGGTTGGAATGGACACCTGGCTCTCCTCCAGAACACATGATATCAGTGGAAAAACAGAGACCTGAAAGGAAGGGGCCCTTGAAGCTTAGCAAAGAGACTGGGAAGGAGTAAAGACAGTCTGTAAACACGTTTGGGGGACCTGGACCTCACGCCTGGGTCCTGCTTTTGTGAATTTAGCAACTGAAGTGATAGCGGTTGAGAACTGCCTCACGAAGTTAAGAGTATGGAATTGCACTGAATGGTTCAAGGGACCCAGGAGGGCAGGGGCACAGATGACAGGGCCTCTCCGGGGTTTCAATTTCTCACCTTCCACGTTGGGCACGTAGGGGAAGAGGTACTGAGTACAAGTCAGAAGTATGGCCACTGGCAAGAACCGTCGGGTTGGAAGCCTGACTGTCCCTCATTCCAGCCGTGACCCTGGGCGAGGCCATCAGCTTTCTCATGTGTAAGACAGTGATGAGAAGAGTGCCCACCACCATGCACGCTGTGACCCCAGCCGTGCTGGGGCCATTCATGGTGACTGTGAGTGTAAAGGCCTGTCACACGGGCAGGCTCAAGACAGGCTTCTCTTGGTGCTGCCCAGGGCTCAGAGGCCCTTGGGATAGAGAGAGAAAGCCGTCATTCTAGTGAAGTACCTAGGACGCCATAACGTGAGCAACGGCCATGTTTTCCGTGAGGAAGGCCATCTCCAGAACGGTGGCCGAGGCTTCCAACCGTCGCTCTCAAAGGCAGTGGTGAGAAGAGACGAAGACCCCGCAAGTGTCACAACAAAACCACGTTTTTACTAAGTACCGAACCAGGGAACCCCACACTTTCTGTGGACATCGTTTTCTCTTTCATATTTTAAAATGGCATTGTGCATACACATTATTTTAAACACTTAGACACATCTTGGATACAGAAATGTAAGAAATCACCGTGAGCTGCTCCGAGATCTGAAATCGCACTCATCAGAACCACTAAACCAGCTCTGGGACTCCTCTGTCCCGCTGCCTCTGGGGACTGAGAGCTGGACCCGGCACCATGCAGCCGCCCGCGTCGCGCCCCAGGAAGCGGGTTACTGTGGAGTCACAGACTGCGTCTCTGTTGACATCTGGTGGGTAAGCGGGAGGGGTCAATCCAGCTGGCTTCTAAAAAAACCCTGCAAATACAATCTCCTCCGTTTACCTCACAGGCGCGCCATCTTCCCTCAGTGTGTGAGGCAGAAACAAGCCAAGCGTACAAGGCATCGTGATGCCCAGGCGTCACGAAGGGTCACCCTCACTGCTTCCGGTCAGGAGACACGTGGCCAGGACCAGGGCCTCCATGAGCTGCCCCCTCTTGCTGAGGGGGGTGAATCCTGTGCAGCCCCACTGGCCTCCCCTGAGAAATGAGACGGCTTGGGTAACACTCTGTGCCGAAGCCCCGGGGGCTGCCCTGAGCTTTGGCCGAGGTGGCAGCAGTGCAGCTGGGCTGAGCTGTGACACCAGAGGAGCTCTTCGGACAAACAGCCCCTCAGCTCACTCACGTCCCCGCCTGCAGGTCCCGGGGAACTGGGCTGCCTGAGACGCACATGAGCAGGCCCGGGAAGACGGTTAAACACAACCGTGAGGATTTATACCCATGGAAGTCATCAGCCTAACCTGAACAGTCGTGACGGAGACTCATGAGGCATCATTTAGAAACCGAAGGGCAAGTGTTCGGGAGTCAGCCCCACCGCCAAGGCTCAGCGGGACCCTGAGGACTGCACAGAATCACACACGTGTGAAGGGATCTGTCTTCTACATGGACACTCTTCCACCTTTATGGAAGGAGTGGAAACGAGGCTGATAAACATCTGACAATCCCGTGTAGATAAGGACCAGACCATCAGAGAGACCTGTCTTGTCTTTTATGAACTGGCTTAGCTCATGAGAAGTCTGTACAAAGTCCTAGACCACTCATACCATGACAGCAAAACTCTTCTAAAAACAGATGTACAGGGTATAATTACTGAGGGTATGCTAAGCCAAAGTAATGCCCAGTTTTAAAATAAAAATTGTCAGACAGAATCGTAATTTTCTTGGTTAGAAGACTGTTTTCCATATGCATAAATGCAGACTAGTACTTTATGCTTAATACATTTCATCAAAGGTGAGACTTTTATCAACCAAATAGTAGACAAAAATAAGGACTAAAATCATTCCAAATTTGTACTTGGATAACTTTCCAAGTTTTGGAGTAAGTTTAATTGGAGGGACATGGAAGAGATGAGTATCTCTCTGCTTATTATGCATCTGGAATTGTATCCACTGCACTTATAGCACTAAGTCATAATGTTGATAGAACCGAGGTGCAGCCTGCTTTAATAATATACACCGAATCTAGACTTGCCAGCCCTCAGTCGCTGCTACATGATTTACAATGTGGCCACGAAAACGGTTCCCTTGAGTGGCCCTGGTGTCGTGAGTCCACCCCCCAGGGCACGGGCTGCCTTGGATTGCGAGGAGGGTCCGGAACTTCACACAAAGAGCCTGAGAATGGGAGCCCCAGCAGAGCTGCAATGCACCCCCTTTGGCTTCTTAAAAACACTGAGGTGAGCACAAAACACAAAGAGGGAGCATTTGACTACCTGGTGGAAAGGCTCACCACCCCCTACTCCAGCAAACCCCCTCTACCTGTTCTATTTCTTTTCATTTCTGGAGTGGTCTTTCTCTCATGCTGATCTGAAAGGTACCCACAGAAAATGCTGGAAAGTCTTACGACTGCGACATCACTGCGGAGAATCTTCTGTTACATAGGACAGACACCACCTGCCTATTTCCTGTTTGTCAGTACAGAAAACACCCCACTTTAAATATTATGTACAGAGAAGAGGCTGCCGCGTGCCCTCATGCACAGCCAGCTCGGGCTCATGGACAGAGAAGGGCTTCCGTTTAGAACCTACACCTACAGACAGCAAACACCAAGAGACATGCACACACTACAGAGAACTGGACACGAGAAATTCATATTTTACACCAGTGAGGGAACACTGTTACAGAACGCTGATGGGATGGTCTGTCATCACACTCTGACACAGGGGGTCTGGGAGGGTGCCTGCTTCTCCTTTTTCTCCCTCTTTCAGGATTCACACTTGGTTCTGTGTCAGGCATTAAGCAACCTGGTGGCTTCTGGTCCAGTTGGATCTCTCAGTTGTCTTTTTGCACCTTTGTATCCCTCTGTGGAGAGCCGAGTTCAAATGCTGGAAACCGTGATGCCTCTGGGGCCAGGATGTCGGAGAGGAAGTGAACAGTGCCAGCCATACCTGCAACGCAAAACGCGGTCCTTCGTGAGAAAGAGTGCGTGGTGGGGTCCAGAACCAAGTGACCTCTGATCGCTGCCTTTACTGGGGATGTAAGGATGTGGGAAAAGGTGGGGAGGACTTTGAAAATAGCTTCACACGCACAAAAAGGAAATCTTCACATCAGCACCCAGCAGGTAATACCAGTTTTCTTCATTATCTTAATTTTAAAAATTGGTTTCTGAGCTTTGATCTTGTATCTTGACACTTTAAGATGATTTCACAGAAGTGCTAACAAAAAAGGGCGCTGCTACTGTGATATTCCAACATATAAACGTCCTCTCAGAGCCTTTACGTTTTTATTCCAAACGGAAGGTTGCATTTTGGGTTTCAAAAATGTTATTTTAAAACGAACTTTACTTGCTTGGTCAAAATCCCCACCGCCAATCACTGCAGTAACTCAGCAGCCTACCCGAAGGATCCCTTGGAGGGAAGGAGCTCCTCCACAAAGGGTCCTGGGCGCTGTGGGCCCTTCCAGCCTAGTGGCCTCCACACCGGCACTCACCCATCCAACGAGAACCTAGTCAGCACCTCCTGCCAGGCACTTGTGAGGCACAGGGGCCCAGAAGAATTCAAGAGCTTCCCAGCCTCTCGGGAGGGTACATTCGAAGATTTTCACCCGCTGGGGCTTTGAATTTGCCATTATCAACTTGAATTTATGAACCTGAATGAACTCCATTTAGAGTTCAGGTATTAACTGTGTTATATGTGATACAAATACACCTCATTTTTATGACCCAAAAGATGACATTTTTATTCTGAGAAACATTTTTTTCATTACGGTTTCTTTGAATATTAAAAAGATCTTATTCTGCAAAAGATAATGACAGACGCTCTAATTTTTGCTCGTTTATCTATTATATGATTAAAATCTCAGTAGCTGAAATAAAACACGGCATTAGCACGACAGACAGTTCAGACATCAAGAAGATAACGAAGGACTGCCACCAAAGCTTTTTATGCACAAAAATTTAACCCCTCAAGTGAACTGGAGCAATATCTTGAAAATACAAAGTACTAAAACTCACTGAATATGAAACAGATAACTTGAACAGCCTTGTAACTATTAAACAAACTGAATTTGTAAATTTCAAACTCCCAGAAAAGAAATCTCTCGGCTAGGAAGGTTTCGCTGAAGAATGCTACCAACCATTTAAATGAGAATTCTTCCACCAATTAATATACAATCTATTACAGAAAACAGAGGAGAAGGTACTTCTCAGTACAGTTTATTAGGCCAGTATTACCCAGATAGCAAAACCAGACAAACACAGTATAAGAAAGGAAAACTACAGGCCAATATTCCTCATGAATATAAACACAAAAATCATCAACATATTAGCAAATATAATTCTGCAATACATAAAAAGAACTGTACACCAAGGCCAAGGTTTATTCCAGAGATGCAAGGTTGGCTTAATATTTGAAAATGAACCAGTGTGATCCACAGTGCTAGGGGCCTGAAGAAGAAAAGCCACATGATCTTACCAACTGATGCAAGAAAAGCACCTGACAAAATTCAACACCCATCTACTTTTTGAGTTTTTAAAAAGTATTCATTTATTCCTTCTGAAATTTATTTTGGAATTACTATAAAAGGTGGCTCTAAAGTAATTAAAAAGTCACCATCCATTTATCGTAACACCATTAACGTTTGCCCTCTGGTTTCTGTGGCTTATGTTCCAAATTACCATTACACACACACACACTAAACAAAGAATATCTGAGTCTCTGTAGGACTTCCGTTTTGTTTTCCTGAATTATATTCTATGTCCTGTGTGTGCCTGGAGCAGACTCGCAATGTGTTTGCTGGTTTCTTTCATTGCTCTTGTTTTTCAGAACTGTCTTCAATATTCTCATTATTTTTTCCAACTACTAATACTTGTATTTACTAATACTTTTAAATTACTAATATTAATTATTTACACTTCTTTACATGACTTAATTAAATACATTTAAGTAACTAACCAAGTTTGCTGTGAATAGATCAATACTACACGCACAATATTACTGATGAAATGCACAGGAGTAAACGTTATTTTCTTCCATTACTGAGCAGCAGACAGTCTATGCCTATACAGGTCACAAAAGATCTAAAAATACTTGGAGGAAGTTCACAGGAGCACACACAAAACAGGCAAGGTAAAGAGACTCAATATAATTTTCAGCAATGAACGACTCTGCTCACGGTATTTACCAGATGTGCAGCGATTACTCATTAAGATCAACTGTGATGGTGCACAGAGTCAGGAGAACCAAATGCACACACCCAGATACTTCAACCTGGAGCTTTCCCTCACTCTTACCTTCAAAGAGAGAATAGGGTCTGTCAGGAATGCGGCAACCATGTGTTCCATATTCTAGGCACCATTCTGCAAACTAGGGAGAAAGACATTTCTTTTTAAGAGTGGGGATTTCACTTGGTGAAAATGGAACGCCTAAGACACTGCAGTGAATTCACCCAGAATCAAAGAAAGCAGACTCCCAGGCAACAGAGTGGTCAGGAGCGTGAGCTCGGAGCGACTCGGCACCACCTCTTCCGAGCAGGTGAGTCCTGGCAAGCTCTGTCACCTGCCTAAGCCTGTTTCCTCCTCCGTAGGGGGGAATTTACCTAGGAAGGTTGTTGGGAAGGCTGAAGTAAGGAATCCCACAGCCCAACAACCTCCGGTCTTTTCTAAGCACCGCCTCCTGCCCCTGCAGGCGCTCCGTCCAGATTAAAACACTGGCTCTGAAACCGCTCGCCTGGCTGCGCTCTCTGGGCTCACCGCCAGCCCCTCTGCTGAACACGCAGCCCTCCCTCCCTCCCTCCTCTCCCCACTGCTCCCCGGCCGGCCCACCCACTGCCCACTGCCCACCCTGCTCATCTTGAAAACTCATCCCTTAGCTTTATCAGCAATTTCCTCTGAGCTCGCCTGACCCTTTCTTCTTAAACCTCTTCAATGGATTTTTATAACATTATAATAAATTTCCCTTTTTTGCTTAAGGTAACTTATTTTTTGTCATGTGTATATAAAGCATCATAAATTCAGCACATAGACAATAAAACTCTCTACCCTCCAGATCTGCTCACTCTTCTAGCTTGTTTGATGCCCCACCATCTAGTCAGAGATCAGAGAGACATTCATACATTTCTGTCTTCTCCACATTAAGAAAACCCACTGAATTCTGTGGGCTCAGCTCCATATCTGTTTTTTTTTTAGTGTCTATCATGAGGAACTTATTTATTTTTTTAACATCTTTATTGGAGTATACTTGCTTTACACTGGCGTGTTACTTTCTACTTTATAACAAAGTGAGTCAGCTGTATCAGTATCTTAAGTGTTTCTGAATCTCTCCTCTTTAGTATCACAGCCAATGCCCTTGGATTTATAACTCAACATTTCTTGCATTAATTATTAAACAACAATTTGGAGAAACCCAAATTGTTTACCTCTACCTCATCCATTCCACCGTGGCCACGGCAAACCTTCTGAGAGGAGTCTGGACATGAATCACAAACCTTTGGGAAGCCCCGCCTGCAGATGAGAACCACCCAGGAGCTGGCACCTGGGGGCCTGGGCTCCCGCAGAACCGGGCCCAGGGTGTGGTCCAGGCACTCTTTTTTTTTTTTTTGCAGTACGCGGGCCTCTCACTGTTGTGGCCTCTCCCGTTGCGGAGCACAGGCTCCGGACGCGCAGGCTCAGCGGCCATGGCTCACGGGCCCAGCCGCTCCGCGGCACGTGGGATCTTCCCGGACCGGGGCCCGAACCCGTGTCCCCCGCATCGGCAGGGCGGACTCTCAACCACTGTGCCACCAGGGAAGCCCCAGGCACTCTTTTAAAGCTCCAGTGATTCTAAGGTGTAACCAAGGCTCAGATCTACTGACTAAGGGGAAGGACCAGCTTTCTTTGGCCTCGGCCCCTCTGACTTCACCCCTCGCCCTTGCACCCTCCTGTGCTGAGCGCTCGGGGTCAGGCAGCACTGTGCCGTGCCTGCCTCCATGGCTCTGCAGGGGCTCTTCTCCTACTGGGGTGCACTTTGCCTCCCCATGCCCTGCCTTCCTGGCCCACCTGAAAAGCTCCACATCTTTAGAAAACTAGCTGTGCCTCAGCCCCCATGAAGCCTTCCCCAATCCCCATATTTTCTTATCCATCTGCTACTGTGACTGCCGTCCACCCGAACTGCCCCTCGCCTCGCTGACCCCAGCTCCTGCCCTGCTCTGCTCTGGCCAAGGGAATGCTGCGGGCCCCAGGGTGCTCACCCCGCCAGCTTCCTCGGCTGGCGGCACCCACTCCCACCCGCCTGCTCAAGCTCCAGCTCTGCTCTGGGTCTCAGCCTACATGGCACCCCCGACGCCCGGGTCAGGCACCTGCCCTCTGCATCCCCACAATACCCCACGCGACCTCTGCTGAGTGTGGGCACTACGACCGCGTGCGTGTCTCGGGGCATCAGCTCGGAAGTCTCTGTTCCATCTGGTGTGAGAAAAGGCTTCAGAACAGTAATAAATATACAGAATAAGCCACCTGAATGCCTCCATCTGTCAAGGGTCATTGGACATTTTGGTGCATTTTCTTCCAATCTTTTTTTCTGTGTTCCTGTAACTTTATTTTGTGAAATGTGCATGGCAATAAAAACACCAGCAAACATTTACTGAGTCTTGTTTTGTGCGTCCATTTTCGCACATCCGATGCGTGTTTATTAGGCCTGTCCTTGGTGCCGGCGCTGCCCTAGGTACTGGGTAGGGTCGGGACGTTGACTAGGAAGATTACGCAGCTCGTGGTCCAGGGTGCGGCACACTCAGGAACAAGCAGAAGTGCACGGTGAGTGCCCTGGTGGCTCTGTCACTGGGGAGCCCTCAGAGGTCGCCTCCACCAGGCAGATTTCGGGGAAGCCCCAGGAACGCTGCGCCCCATGGAGAGCGTGGGGCAAGGCAGGGGAGAGGCAGGCAGGGACCGAGGCACACGGGGCTCTCCACTTCGGGGCTGTGGGTGCCGCTCACGGGCAGTGGGAAACCACTGGAGGATTTTAAGCAGGGGCAACTACTGACGACCTGCCCATTACCTCAACTGATTCTTCCTGGAACAAATTTAGGAGGCGGGTAGTATTTTTACAGATGAGGAAACTGAGGCTTGAAGAAGGGGCGCCCCAAAGTCATGAAGCTAATAAATGCACAGGAGGGCATCCTAACAGGTCATGGGACTCCTGAATGCATTTCCACCCCTTAGTCCCATTGTACAGATGGTACGGCCAAGGCACACGGCCGCCAGGGACAAGGCTCTGCAGAAGAAACCGCAGAGTTGGGACTGAAGGAGGAGAGAGTTGTATTTGGGCTGTGTGTGTGCCCTGGAGGGTTCAGAAGCGGTTTGGATAGAGATGTCCTTACCTTGCAAGCGCGGTAGAGGTACTTCTTGTCCCGCGTGAGGTGGTAAAGGGAAAGGAAAGAGTAGCCGTTGCCAGCGGTCCCATGGCAGATCCCGTAGCCCTTCCGCAGCAAACCTCGCTGCCAAATCACATCGCTGCACTCCATGGCCTCCTTCAAGTACTTTTCCTCCTTAAACACCTGGGCAATGAGAAACAAAGCGGTGTTAAACAGATGCCTTATGCAACGAGTTAGCGAAATACTTCCCCTTTCTGTTTAGAAAACTGCACGGCGTTCAGAAACCTGAAATGACGGGTAAACCAAGCCCAGAGGCAGCAGCACTGCACCAGGTACCGTGCCTCCTGGGACCTGTAGGCTGCAGCTGTGACACTCCTACTCGTGCAGAGGGCAGTCGAGGATTCTGCACTGTCCCGTCATGCAGGTCAGGAACATTCCACATCCTAGGTTAGCCACACATCCAACGCACCCGACGAGCTGTCATAAACCGTCACAAGGAACCCCGCAAAGAGTGTCCTCAGCCCCAGCGCCAGGCGGCACCATCTCCACGCAATGGTTTATGGGGACGGAGGGACAAACGTGCTCAGTGGAGGCAAGTGCGCCAGCATGAGGAAGCTTTCGCTCCCCCAGATTCCCCTGGACACTCCTCTGTCTCCTCTCATTTCATTTATTTTCTTTCCCTGGTCCTCTCCTCTGAATCTGTTATTAGCAGTCTCCCCTGCTTATTAGCTCATTCCATTCTAGTGCAAATGCATTTTGGACCACGGATTAGAGGCAAACGGTCACTGGAGAAGAGCTCCTCGGGGCGGCAAAGGGGACCCTCCTTGTGACTGCTGAGCGGTGACTCCTGGGCACCCGCCAAGGAGGCTCTGAGGTGCAGGAAAACCCAAGTGCCTGAACTGCGACCAGCGCCGGCCGTGGCCAGCAGGGGACGGAGGCAGATCCGCACCGCAGTCACCGCTCCGGGCGCAGGGCCTCGCCAGGGGCAGGAGCAGGCCTCTCGGTCATAAAAGCAGCTGAGACGTGGACTCTGGGGCCGCTGAGTGTCAACCTCAGCTCTGCCACCTTTTAACTGTGACCAAGGACAAGGCACCTCTTACGTCTTAATGTACTATAAAAAGATACCCTTTCTTCATCTCAGCGGCTTGCTGTATTAAAATGAAGTAACACACAAGAAGCTCTCAGAACACTGCCTGGCGCATGGTGAGTGCTACTTCCGAGCTGTCACTGACCACCATCCCTTCTGTGTTATGATGCCAGCACAAACGTGTCATCCTTGCATTCGCATCTTAAGCCTCTTAAAATGAATTCTAAAAGGAACCTTGTTCCCATCCTGAAAAAGATTAGGTCAAAGCTGACAGGTGAAAGGAGACTGTTTTGGAGGCTCTGTCATAAAACCACACTGAGAGTAAGGCCAGTCCTAAAGAAAACCTGACTGGCTCCTTTCTGATGGTCACCCAGGGTACGTGAAATCAATCGGACTTCTTTCCCGTTGTCCCTGTCCCCCTGCTGAGACTGAAGCTGCTAGAGGCACCCCACACAGCGAGCTTTACCTTCCTTCCCCGGTGCATGCCCGCAGCACGCCCACCACACCCACTACCATCACACAGTCATGCTCCACGTGAGGAGCTACTCTGAATAGCGGGACACTTGAGGGGCTTCCCTGGTGGCGCAGTGGTTAACAATCTGCCTGCCAATGCAGGAGACATGGGTTCGAGCCCTGGTCCAGGAAGATCCCACATGCCGCGGAGCAGCTAAGCCCGAGTGCCACAACTACTGAGCCTGTACTCTAGAGCCCGCGAGCCACAACTACTGAGCCCACAAGCCACAACTACTGAGCCTGCGCTCTAGAGCCCACGAGCCGCAACTGCTGAGCCCACGTGCCACAACTACTGAGCCTGCGCTCTGGAGCCCGTGCTCTGCAACGAGAAGCCACCGCAATGAGAAGCCCACACACCACAACAAAGAGTAGCCCCCACTCGCTTCAACTAAAGAAAGCCCACGTGCAGCAACGAAGACCCAACGCAACCATAAACAAACAAATAAATATTCCTTTAAAAAAAATAAATAGTGGGACATTTGAAAACTTAATGCAACTGAAGCTCCCAGATTTATCTTCTCTACATTGTAGCCATTATAACTTGGCCAGAAAATCTATTTACTGATCCACATTACCTCTCTCAAATCGTAAATTTCCCTGGGAAATGTCATGACACAGTTTGAAGAGACAGTGCGATGTAGAGGAAGACGTTAAGAGATCTGGAGTCGGAAGGTATGGCTGGACTCCCTCTTCCACGACAACTGACCAAGTAACTTTGGGTGAGTCATCGTAACTTCTCTGACTCTGTCTGCTCATATTAGAAAATGAACTGATGCTGAGACGACCAAATGTTGAAAACAGAGACAAGCATTTGGGGCAGTTATTAAAAATCTTTAAGGATGAAAAAGAAACTAAATACATCATCCATGAATGGTTTGGAAATCTCAGAGAAACATTACTATAAAAAGAAATAGATATTCAGGAACTGAAAAAACACCAATAGATGAAATTAAAAACTTATTGAGTAAGGCTTAATAGAGAAGAACTCATTAGTGAATATGAAGCTAAATAAATAGAAATTATACAATCTGAATTACAGAAAAGAAAAGAAATTAAAAACAAAAGCCTCAGAGACTTGTTGGAAAGTAAAGACCTAACGTTTACCAAATGTAGTGGAAGACATACAAGTTCAAGAAGCTTAAAGGCTCTCAAGCAGGATAAACACAAACAGATACACATGGGTACGTGATAAAAATATTGAAAACCAAAAAGAGGAAATCCCAAAAGCTTCCAGAGAAAACACAGACTACTTATAAGAGAACAATATAAAGAATGACTAACATCCTAAAAACAGTGAAGGCCAGAAGACAGTGGAGCAGTATCTTTAAAGAACTGAAAGGAAAAAAAAAACTGTCAGCCTAGATATTCAGCAAAAATATCTTCAAAGAATGAAGGTGAAATTTACAATAGCCAAGACATGGAAGTAACCTAAATGTCCATAGACAGATGAATGGATAAAGATGTGGTACATATATACAATGGAATACTACTCAGCCATAAAAAAATAAGAAAATAATGCCACTTGCAGCAACATGGATGGACCTAGAGATTATCACACTAAGTGAAGTAAGTTAGAAAGAGAAAGACGAATGCCACATGATATCACTTATATGTGGAATCTAAAATATGACACAAATGAACTTACCTATGAAACAGACACAGACTCACAGACATAGAAAACAAACTTATGGTTACCAAAGGGGAAAGTGGGGAGAGATAAATTAGGAGTTTAGGATTAACATACACACACTACTATATATAAAATAGATAAACAACAAGGTCCTACTGTATAGCACAGGGAACTACAGTCAATATCTTGTAATAATCTATAAGGGAAAAGAATCTGAAAAAGGATATATATAATATCTCTGAATCACTTTGCTGTACACCTGAAACCAACGCAACACTGTAAATCAACTATACTTCAATAAAAAACATAAAATAAGAGAGTGAAGAGTAGGAGCCAGTGGTACCACAGCCCTCTGAGACCACACACTGTTTCACACGTAACCCTTTGTAGAGTGAACCTAGCTCTTCTGCACCACTGTGGACTAGAACACACCCTGTCCCTTCCTCAGACCTGGTCACTGAGACCTCTCCTCGGTATAACCCTGTTGTGGATTGCATGGTATGAAGCAGAATTCAAAATTTTTTAATACCTGGTGTAATTTTCCATTGAGCTATAAGATTCTGACCTTACTCCCTCTGCCTCTTAAGCTTTTCCAAGGGAAAACTGGGTTGATTTTTTCCTTTTATGGCTTAATACATGACTACATGCAACAGCCTTTGGGATGCAAATCGTTATGTCTTACTGCCATGGTGTTTACCATTTCTTCATAAACACTGTGAATAACAATGTCTGCTCCAAGGAAATGAAGGTTTTTCTTCCCTTCCTTCTTAATGCTTTCATCTTTTTATCCAATATTTCCTTTATCTTCTTTAAGATGATTTCAACTACTAAAATTAAAGCCTTCAAGGAAAATATCAAAACAGGAAAAATGAGCTCATATTCAGTGAAACTGGATTGGTAAGAGGGTCTGGACTTGCCAAGAAACAAACATGACAGGAAGTTAATAACACTACTGAACATTTTTTTTTTTATTCTCATAAGTAGAAGTGACGTTTCAGCTGATTCATTTACAAGACCTCTTCCAGTAACAATACTCAATTTATTAGATTAACCTTACAATATTTTAGTAGTTAATTAAAAAACTAATTCCTAAGAGGCATTTCCACTGTAGGTCTTGGAGAGAAGGAATCCTTCACAATTTTCCACTTCAATTTTTTTTTACATCTTCCATTTAGACTTAGTAGCCAATCTGATGGGGCAGCAGAACTGAGTTTTCTTAAGTACAGGGTAATATTCACCTCTTTCATTGCTTTTGCTTATTATTAGGCATTCCTAAAGTGCAAGGGAATTTCTGGATCAGTTATTACAAAACCCCTGTTCTCTGCAGTTTTTGGGATAATAAAGAAATGTCCACAGAATTGATCTAGATGTTCACGGTAAGGATAGCATTCTTCACAAACCAGCACAGGATGTGGAAGGAAGATTGAAGCACCACCCCGGAGGGACTGTTTCAGATTTTGCCCATGGAAATCACCATTGTAGGAACAATCAGGAAGTAACCAAAACTTTCACCTATATTAGGAAAAGTTCCCTGATATGTAAAGCAGATGTACTAGTAATCCCAAAATGTCAGGCTCACCTTGAAAACTATAAAGCAATTCGGTACAAACTGCACCAGTGCCACAGGAATATGTAACAGTAGGAATTCTACTGTTAGAATTGTATCAGTTCATTCGGATGTCAAGAACCACACATCATCATCACACAGAACTGCAAGAAATTTTCTTCAGTTAGAGGAAGATACAGAATCCTCGTTATCACAGATTCCACAACGATCTACAAACTAGAGGCTGTTTGCAGACATGCATTCCTTGCAAGAATCATCTCTTTGACAATGGATCATCCTTTAAGTAATCTGCTGAATCAATGAAAGCCAGGCCAAAGGAGTTCCGACTGGTGCATTCAAGTGGGTGGCTCCAGGCAGAACATGGTGCCCATATGGCGCTCACCACC